AGTAGATCGGTAGAGACGGAATGGGGCTTCGTATTACAACATGGAACGGTGAGTGCGGAACAACAAACATAATGACATGTTGCAAACCATAGACCTGGGCCAAATCATGTACTAATTACTAGTATCTTGCAGTCAATGGGATCCGGTGTGTGAGCTATGCGTTGTAGCTGCGAATGGTCTGTCACTGACTGATGCAGAAATCCATTCTCCTACGAACCATGGAGAGGCAAGCGGACCTTCGATGTATATCCATCGCTTTGGCCTTCTCGCGCATCAGACTCGAACTAACATGATTAGGCAATGTTTGACATCCTCGAGGCAGACATTGTTGTCTTCCAGGAAACGAAGATTCAACGGAAGGACCTTCGCGATGACATGATTTTGGTCCCAGGATGGGATTGCTATTTCAGCTTGCCTAAGGTGAAGAAAGGCAAGTTTTGTGTGCTTGAGTCTAGTGGTTAGCATAGTCTGACAGGCTTCAGGCTACTCTGGAGTGGTCATTTACACTCGCAATGCGACCTGTGCCCCGATCCGTGCGGAGGAGGGGCTTACAGGTATGCTTTGTCCACCAAACTCAACGGTCCCCTTTCGCGAGCTTCCAGACGACCAGCAGATTGGCGGCTATCCAACTTTGGAGCAACTCAGTAGCCTTGAGGTCGATCCTGCTACCCTGGACTCGGAAGGGCGTTGTGTCATTCTCGAATTCCCCGCCTTTGTGTTGCTGGGCATATACTCCCCGGCAACCCGGGACGAAAGTCGTGACTCATTCCGTCATGACTTTATCGACCTGATGGATGCCCGAGTTCGCAACCTCGTCGCGATGGGAAAGCGGGTGTTTGTCACGGGTGATCTGAATATCTCTAGAAGAGAGATTGATGCAGCGCACGCGGCAGAGGCGATTAGAAAGGGAACCATGTCCGAGGATGAATGGATCTCGATGCATGCCCGACGTGTTTTCAACCAGTGGCTTGCGGATGGCAAAGTCATTGGTGAGCGCGATGAAGGAAGAGAGAAGCCTGTGCTCCATGATATCTGCCGATCATTCCATCCTGAACGCAAAGGGATGTATACCTGCTGGGAGCAGAGAATCAATGCGCGCCCAGGCAATTATGGCGCAAGAATTGATTACGTCCTCTGCAGTCTGGAAATGCAAGATTGGTTTTGCGATTCCAACATCCAAGAAGGGCTTATGGTAGGTTCTGTCGATTGAGGGATAAACGCGAATCGTTGCTGACAGCAGACGATGCAGGGTTCGGATCATTGCCCTGTCTATGCCGTTTTGAAGGATAGCATCATGTTCGAAGGGAAAGAGACGAAGGTTCGCGACATTATGAATCCTGCAGGTGTTTTCAAGAATGGCGAGCGTCAGCAAGAGTACACAGCAAAGTTACTGTTGCCCACTTCCGGGCGTCTAATCCCAGAGTTTGACAAACGGAGAAGCATCAAGGATATGTTCATGCGCAAGCCTACCAAATCATCCCAAAGCACCCCCTCTGGAACTCCTACAAATCCTCGGCCAACGGCGATGCAAGAGACAGCTGCGCTGTCTTCTTCCGAGTCGAATCCCAACGAAGCGGTCAGTAATGCCAACGGCGATAGTAGGGGCACAGTACGCAAGCGATCGGACAAGCCTGAGTCCCCCATCAAGCGATCGAAAAGCACGATTGCCCCAGCACCCGCGCCGACGAACCCTGGGCAGAAAACCTTGAAAGGATTCTTCAAGCCCAAAAGTGCCCCCGCGAATTCTAGCGAGGATTGTTCCGCCAAGGATGCTGAGCTTGCGGTCTCTCAACCGTCGACTTCTTCATCCACAATGACTGGCCCAACGGCGTACTCGCAGCTTGAGAAACAGGAGGCTGTGGACACCGTGACCAAAACATCTGCAGAAGAAGCCAACAGCCGCGATCCATCCAATGTTTTTACCCCCGATGAACACGACGCTGTTTTTGACCCGATCGTCAGCAAAGAAGATTGGTCCAAGCTGTTCACGAAGAAGCGAGCTCCCTTATGCGAAAGCCATCAGGATCCATGCATCAGCTTGACGACGAAAAAGCCTGGACCGAATTGTGGACGAGCGTTTTGGATATGTTCGAGGCCTCTAGGGCCGAGCGGCAACAAGGAGAAGGGAACGCAATGGCGATGTCCGACGTTCATTTGGGCAAGCGATTGGAATTCGTCATCGTAGCTGTGAGCAACTGCTCATATCATCGAAGCCCAAGCTTGTCTTTTGCTTGGAACGATGGAAGAAAATGATACCCCCCTTTTGAGTTTGATTCTCGCGTGTGACATCAGAAGTTGATACTGGATGGGCGTTGTTCTGGTCTGTTATGGGTAGTTGTCCATAAGAGAATCTGGTAATAAACTATTCTGACGGCATAATTAGCACATTTTGTTAGTAACGACTGTTATCAATCCTTGTAACCCACCAACTAGCCTTTCAGCTTCACCATCATAGCTACTACCAAATCCAGCCACTACCCGCCATCATCTTTTGTCTATTAGATAGCAGCCTAGAGTTGAAATCCACACCCACAGCGGAGACACTTTGGCAGGTGATTGTTGATGAAACAAATGACCCCGGACCCGCATGGTGTGTATCCACTTACGCGCATGAAAGGTGGGGAGGCGTTATTGTATGAAAGGAATCACTCTGCAGTTTCCAGCTGCGTGGGGCTATTGTCAGCAGTGCTATTCGGTGCTGGATCCAGCTCTCCCAGAATATAGCTTTTTCTGGACGTGTTACTCTGAAAACGAGTAGTGGTGCAAGTTGCCTGCAATCAAAGTGATTCTCAGAATATGATATTTGCAACCATGGTAAGATAATACAACTATTCGCAACCATAGCGAGAGAATCTACTATTCGTAAATACAAGGAGCGCATACAAGCAAGCAAAGTCTACGTGAACAATAGAGATGCGCAGAAAGTTTTGTTTGTTAGTCCAAACCACCATATGTTAGATTTCTATGATCCTATGCAACTTGTTTGTAGTTTCCACGGACTTCGATGCACTTTATGCTATCTCCGTCGGACCAGATGCATGATAACAGATAAACATGAGATACATTCTTTGGGTAACCTGTCCATCAACCATATCATGATAAAATCTCTCAGAAGAATTCAGAAGATCGGGGCTGGTGGAAGGTACAGTCTTGTTTGATCTGAGAAGAAGTGGAAATACAGGATTGCAAAATAGCAAGGAAAATGGTAGAGATAACAAAAGGGTCCAGTCAGTCTGAAGACTTGTCCTCGATCCGTTCCTCCCTCTCGTTTGTCTCCCCTCTCATGTCTCTCATCCCCGATCGTGTAGAGAAAAGTCGAATGCAGTGAGTGCACCAAGCATCATCACGGAGCTTGAGCAGCCTGGACCAGTGTGGAGGCCAGCTCCAGACCGTTTCCTAGCCGCTCTCTCCTCCGACGTCGCTAGAGCATCATCACTTCCGATCGACGCATTCGCTTCAGTAGATGTCCGCCAGGAAGTCCGACAGTTCGAAAGGCTCGCCAGCGAGTCTCTCGTTCATGCCGAAGTTCGCCGAGGCAAAGATCATGGCGCGCTGGTTTTCGCTCTCCACCTCCGCAATGAGATTGTCGAGCTCAGCGGCGCTGAAGCGGTAGGGGCCGCCAATCATGGCTGGCTCGTCGGAACCAACGACACTTTCGAGGTCCGCGAGATTGTGGTTCGGGGTCTCGGCGTCGGCACTGATTGTGGAAAGACTGGTATCAGGGATAGAGCTGCCGACTTCGGATTCAGTGCTTGTCGCAGCTGGGGTGTGAAACCGCTTGGTGGGCTTGGATTCGGGACGAGACGAGCCACGACGTTTTTTCTCGGATGGTTTGCGCGGAGTGTACTGATAGTCGGGGTGCTCTTCGGCATGCTTGCGTTTAGTCTCCTCGGCCAGTTTTCTCCACTCGGCCTTCACCTCTTCAGGTTCGGCCTTCCACTGCTTTCCTAGCAAGATGGCTATCGAAGTTAGCTCACAGTGCTTCAACAAAATAGAGGTATCGAGACTTACAAATTTCATTGTTGGTGAGAGCTGGGTTGCTTTCTTTCACCTTTGGATGATGGTTTTGACGATACAGGATGAATGCGTTCGGGGGGCGAGGGATCTTGTTTTGTTTCACAGGTATGGCCTGGATAGTGATAGATGCAGCCTCAATCTCAGTTGCTGGTTCCTTGATTGGAGCAGCAAGTGCTACCGCAGTTCCCGAAAATGCAGGAGTTTGCAGAATGCGAAGTGCGTTGATAGATTCATCGAGAAAAGCAACCGTTGGGGTCCCGATAAGCATACTTTTAAATAGCATTGTAAGCACACATGAAAAGTCCACCATGTCGGAAGCAACTCACCTCAGACGAGTCTTGATCTTGTCAACGTTCCTCTGACCGATGATATCCACCACGTTAAGTGGAAGGAGCACTTCGTTGTTTGTGTTTCTGAGATGACGCAAGGCATCCTGCCACAGCAGCTCGGTGATATTGTCGGTGCGCTCAACAGGAGCTCTCATGGCTAGAGGAGGGGTACTCATTTTGACCGATGAGATCAAAGCTGATGAGTTTCAAAGGTGGTTGAAGAATGATCAGGATCAGTTGTGTGTGATATCGAGGATGTGGAGGAAGTGTAGAGTGGGTTGGTGGAGGAAAGAAAGGAAGAAGGATCTTGGAGACAGAGGAAGACGGAGAGATATATGTACCTCAGAAAACCTATTCAACACCAAAAACATACCTGAATAAGATATAGGCAGCACTAGACACAGTGAATGATTTCAAGTTCAAGATATACTGGGGTGGTCTAGCAGCTTCTTTGTTTTACAAAGCGAGCGGGGTGATATCCATATATTCACAAGAACACAGATTTCTGAATAACAGTAGGGCGTTTCACGTTTAGTCTTTTCTCTACAGGAAAATTATTTAAGCCCTCCTGATTCCTGTCTCCTCGACTTGACATCTTTCTATCTTTCCATCCTCCACATTTCCAGAACTGTTCCTCCACCATCAGCCTCTCTTCTTCAACCTCATCAAGACTTACACCATTCCAATTTCCTGTCATCCTCCGAGTCAACAGAAAACACCACCATGGCTGCAGAGCCTAATGTTCTACTCCGCGTCATCGATGAACTCCGGACCGATGCCAGTCTTGACTATCAGACTCGGCAGCGAGCTGCATACATTTCTACCTCCTTTTCCGTCCATGGCAACAAATTCAGACTCATGGCTCAGGCTGCGGCTTTGGACGTTGGCGAATTCGAAATTCCCTCCCCACATCTGATTCATAATTCGGACGAAAACAAGCAGACACTTGTCGAACTGCATGGCAAGAACCTGCAAGCGGTCATGTCTGAATATGATGTGAAACCTAGTATTGCGGATTTCGAAGGCCATCCAGTCAACCTATTCGGCATGATCGATGGCGACATCAATACCATTCTCGAGGGGCAGAAACTGGCTAAATTCCATCGGGCTCTCTTGAAAGCGGAAACCAACGCAAACAATGATCTGTCCAGGGCGACCAGAAAGTATGGCTATCACTACATCTTCAGAGTCGGCCTCTCACACTACTATTTGGCGTAAGTTGACATGCTGATACACTCAGGTACAAGCTAAATGATTGATTAGGAAAACTATTGCCGAGCATGTCAACTTCTGGAAGAACGATGACCGTGGGGTGGCATACGGCGCTCAGACACAGGCGTTGTGCTACCAAGCTATGGAGACAAGAATCTGCCTGACCGAGAATGCGAAGAACTTCATGATTCGCATGACGGGAAGCCGCCCGGAAGATGCTCGCCGTTTCTGTGAGTGTTTATCAAAAGTGTTGAAGCATATCATACTGACTTTTCAGGGTCTTTCCTGGAGCACCAACGAGCGGCGTACACTGTCATGAGAGGCTGCATTGCGCTTCTGGAACACTTTAAATCCACCTCGATGGATGAAGACCACGCGCAGTAATGGCGCACACGGCATACGGAATCTGTTGTGATCACGACTTCAAATTTCGAGGCGAAGCATTGATGATGAATGTCCACCGATGAGAGCTTTGCTGCAATGGGATTTCTCACACATACTACAAGAGCGTTTATTTCATTTCTTCCTGAAGATCATGGAGAACATCGACTGATAAGAAACTTGGCTGCATCTCGCTGCTTCAAATAAGGACTCAGCCCGATTGAGGGACCAATCAGACTGACCTAGTGTCATGATGGAGAATTCTTTATCGTTGTTTTCTTGTTTCCTCAGACTGTGATGTCTGCTTTTGCTCAACCAGAATGACATACACTTCAAATAAAAACTCAAAGCCATAGCACGTTAGCCCATCCCACATGTCGGGAGTTACACCGTAAGGCAGATTGTAGTGTGTATTTTGACCTAGTTTCAGAATTGATCGCCTTTCTAATGGTGGATCAGAACCAATGCGAATTGCCGCACAGTTGCACAGTCGCACAACTGGAACAGGGGTGTTTGATGTTATCATTATTATCTTTTACCCTAATGATGTGGTAGCAGAGGTTGACGGCGAATCTGACAAGTATTTTGGTAAAATTCGACATATTACAACTAACATTCTTGGCCAATGCTGTAGACAGGCAGCTGGGGCAACTAAGACAAAGGATTTGAATGCCTGCCACTTGCTCCGAAGTGCAGAGGTCTCCCCAAACTTAGCTCGTCCTTGCTCTTGCTCACCAACGAGAGAGAGTCGCTTTCTCAAGATCACGATGTGCCGCGCAGAACAAAGAAGCGCCAACTAGCTATTGTATGGATAATGCGGGGAGTACCAAAGATTGCAGTCCGGTCAACCGCTGGGCTTGGGTACGGTCTAGAGGAGCCGAATCCGGATCCGCACTTGTAGTTTGTGACCGTACACAAAGCAAACGGCGATGGCAGTAATTATTCGAGCCATGGCACAAGACCAGAGGCTCGTGCGTGATGGTAAGGAAGCTTTGGAGCCATGAGTTACGGATCGCAGCCAACATCGAGCCTGAGACTTTTCCCAAGCCTGCAACTGCAACAACCCGCGAAAGGCCAGTCGGGTGGCTTGCAGACCCGACTAACCTTCAATAGTTCTTCTCTACGGCGTCCAACCCTCGGAGACAACCCTGGTCGCCCTCATCCCCTTCGAAGTTGTTTCACAACAAAACCAAAGACTGTTTCTCCACTTTCATGCAGGACCGACATCCCCCTTCGACAGGGGGGCACAACTTGGCTCTTGCAGTGGTTGCATGGTTCGAATTCAATTCGCGAGCCAATCGAGCACGTCCAGAACGGAAGCACACGAGTCATAGGCCAGGAGTTCGGCTGTCAAGGGAGGCTTGGCCGCAAAGACTATACTACAAAGAAGGGGACCCCATCCTTTTTGTCTGCCGTGAACTCTCCTTCCATCTGATCCTAGCGTGGAAGCCGAGATTCTGAATGGGGAACCAACTTTTGAAGAGTTGGGTTTCCCTTCCTGTATGTGGTTTTCCGACTGGCATGATGGAATTCGGGGCTGGCGCAAAAAGGGAGGAGAATCTTTGACACCCGGTGTGGATAGTCAGCCGGCTTGCTCGATGCCAAATCAAATTTCATACGCGGTCGCAAGGGGGTCTTTGGGGGCAGCGTGTCCATCAGCAAGTTTTGGATCTCCGGCGAAGTAGACTTCGCTAATGCAGTCTAGGCTGAATTCAATTCTGCAGGGACCTATGGGATCAAGAAGTATAGCCCCAAGACAGGTATGTCTTATCATGCTGTGGGGGGGTCTAGACTGACCTGACCTTTCACAAGGACATACGCACAAGCTTCTCCTGATGAGTTATGGTTTGTTGCGAGAGCTAGGTTTTGGCGCGCAAGTAGGGAATTTGAAAGCGCCGTCTGTCGATCTTCTGCGTTGGCTCTTGACCGTTTACTTGGTGTGTTCTTGGCCGCGGAATCGCATTTTAGGGCCAGGGTTTTGTGGACCCTTTGTCTCTAACCCCAGAGTCGGTTACTACCGATGCCTGGATGCAGATCGCTGCCTGGGATAACTGTAGTGGGCTCACGGCCCACGAAGCTACTATGATCAAGTCTCTGGGATATCAGAGGCATGATTGCGTTGATCGATACAATGTTATGTGTGTCTCGCAAAACTGTGACCACGGTCAGCAGTTGGAGCTCACCAGCTCGGTTGCCGATGGCCCAATCTAAAGATAGCATGTTATGGCTGGGTGACTTCGTCCAAGTCAACTACAAGCTACTAAGGTACGTTGTTTCATGCCAACTACTGTCGAACTCAAACCAACACCCGAGCATATTAGGGAGCGAGCAACGAGCCGTACAGAAATCGTTCAGCACTGCCCTGAACTCGCCAACCTTAGCAGAGCCAACATATCTACAACATATCCACTCTCAATTCTCCCCAGCCTACCATTCCATATCGACGGCTAAGAGTCATAACAACGCGAAACCACCTTTATCATCCGGTGCGACAGCCTAAGACATCTGTAGAAGTACCATGCCCAGCCAGCCGCGCACCGTTATCCTCCCGGCAATGATAGGGGGAACTGTTCGAGAAATCGACAGCCGATTAACTCTCTTAATACTGATTGCGAGTGGGTATATTTCGGTGGTAGGCAAGGCCTCATGTGGTAGCGATGAGGGGATGTTGAAGGTGATCGTGGCGATCATTGGGCGATGGCCCCGATCGTTGGGGACCTGAGGTCGAAGGTTGGGCAGTTCGAGCATCTGACGGGCTTTGCCCTCTGAGATCATGTCTTGGAATCAGAAACAGTTGGGACCCTGTTATGCTGGAGAAGAGAGTCAGCACTTTGACACGCGAGAGACGTCGATGGAGATGGTGGCCTACGGTCGTTGTTGAGAACGTAGACAAGTCTGCATTAGCAAGCTCGTCCATAGCACATAACGTAATTCAGGATGTACGATAGCAGAGTATCGAGAACATTAGAATGGAATTACCAATGAAAGCTCCACCTTTGCCTTTTTACAGATGCGCATCAAAGGCGAAGCGCAGTCAGCCTCCCCAACGTGATAGGGGTCTTGTTCGAGTCTTTGATTCTTGCAACAAACTTTGTCGTGTCGCTGAATGTACATTTCTTTCTTTGCAGTAATGTGGTGATAACCTGCAGAATGAGCCAGAGGACTTAGCATACTTGGGTCGAAGACTCACTTGCGAGTGCGCAAGGCATGGTGACTAGATCGATCCTGAGGACCCTCTCCTTGGTGAGATTGGGCTGTCAACCGAACCGGACAACAAGCTCCAAAGTAGCTAAGCACTATGCGGAAACATCTTCGATGCCGACGGCTTGCAATTTAGATGAAGCGTTGACATTCCCACCACTATCTCAGAAGCAGGTGGTCGAGGCTGCTGCAGTCCAGATCGAGTCCAGGTTCGGTCCCAATCTACTCGGTACCATTCAATCCAACCCAACATGCGATGCGAAATAGTCATATCTAGCCCCCTCTTAGATATCTGAAGGATTTTCTTGTTTTGCATTCACTGGATCAACGTTGATGAAATTGTTGCCTGGCTCATGTGACCTGCCCTGCATTTCCCTTGGTAATCGTGACTCTACTCGTGCTGAACAAACCTGCAGTGACCAACCCAGACTTCTTCTTTCTCCCTCTCCCTTGGACTCTGTACACATCTTCAATTGATTATTCTTCCACCACTTCCATCCTTTCTTTCCTCCCCGCATATCCTCCACATGTCATCCACCGACGACGCGTGCATCATTACCTCCGAGATGGCCGCCGACGAGGACCTGAAAGCGGGGCACTTCCAGACGCTGACGATCGAATCCCCCCACCGCATCATCATCACCGACACGCTGTACGGCACGCACGAGATCACCGAGCCCGTCCTCCTCGACCTGCTGCAGAGCCCGGACCTGCAACGTCTGATCGGCATCTGCCAGCACGGCGTCACCGGCCACCTGGGCTTACTCCCGGGCGCCGTCAAGATCACGCGCTTCGAGCACTCCGTCGGCGCCTGCCTGCTCGTGCGGACCCAGGGCGCCACGCTGGAAGAGCAGGTGGCCGCGCTCCTCCACGACATCAGCCACACGGTGCTCAGCCACGTCGTCGACTGGGCGCTGTCCAACCCGCAGGAGGAGAGCTTCCACGAAGTCCACAAGGCGCGCTACCTGCAGACGACGGGCATCCCGGCCATCCTGGCGCGGCACGGCATGCCGCCGACCGTGCTGCACGAGGAGCAGTACCCGCTGGTCGAGCTGCCGGCGCCGCATCTCTGCGCGGACCGCCTGGACTACGCGCTCCGCGACGGCCTCGCCTTCGGGAAGCTGACCCAGGACCGCGTGCGCGAGCTGCTGCGCTGTCTGCGCGCCTTCCCCTACCCGACCGCGCGCAACCGCATCCTGGTGCTGGAGCACCGCCGCGTCGCGCTCGGCTTCGCCCGCGCTTATCTCCAGATCGACCAGGAGGTGTGGTCCAACCCCGCCCACGCCGACATGTACAAGCGCACCGGCCGGTTGATCGGGGAGCTGGTGCGCCAGGGCAAGATGCCCGAGGAGGTGCTCTGGACGCTCTCGGATGAGGAGTTCTGGGCCCTGTTGCTGCGGCTGGCGGACGCGGAGGGGGCGGCGATGTTGAAGCACTTCGAGCGGGAGGGGCTGGCGGAGGAGCACGGTCTGCCTCTGCCCAAGAATGCGAAGATCAGGACGGTCGATCCCGACGTCTGGGAGAATGAGTACATCCCCGCGCCTCTGTCGCAGTTGAGTCCCGAGTGGGCGGCGGAGCGTCAGGCCTACATTGCTCGTCGCGAGGCGACACGCGCGTTGGACTAGTTGGCAGGGTTGAAATTTGGAAAGACTAGACTGGATGCTTCAGGATGAACTACGCGATTATGTGGCGATCTACAGACGAAATGGCTTATCTTTCCTTGTATCTATCTTGCACCATGCTTGGGCATACACATTGGCGCTACATCAGAGCGGGTTGGCAGAGACGGGGCTTTTCGTGGAATGAGAGAACAGCAACCAGCTGCATACTAAGTTATTGAGCACATGAACAAGACCCGTAGTCTCCCTTCGAAGAGAAGGAGTTGAATCATAGACTCGCAACCCAGCGTTGAACTAACATCTCCAGCCGGACACAGACACCGTCTGGACCCTAGCCATACCGCGCATCTTTGGGCTCGTCATCGAACCAAACCGGCGGCACCCCATAGTTGACGACCGTACTCTTGAGCTTGGTGTAGCTCTCATAGGCGGCCAGGCCATTCTCCTTTCCGATGCCGCTCTCCTTGAACCCACCCCAAGGCGACGAAGGGTCATTCAGGTGATGGCCGTTGATCCAGACAATGCCGGCCTCGATCTGGTCCGCCACGCGATGCGCCTGCTTGAAGTCATTCGTCCAGACCGACGCCCCCAGCGCAAAGGCGGTACTATTAGCGATGCGCACGATCTCCTCCTCGGACTCGCACTTGAGCAGCGCGATCACGGGCCCAAAGACCTCATTACACGCCAGATCCGAGTCCGCATGGGTCTCGATCACCGTGGGCTCGAAATAGAACCCTGTCCTGCTCGAAACACGACCACCACCACAGAGAACCTTCCCCCCCTCCTGCACCGCCCTCTCCACAAACGCCGCACATCTCTCCACCGCCGCCCGTGAAATCACCGGCCCAATCTGCGTCGTCTCGTCCGTGGGATCGCCCACCCGCAACGCGCGCACCCTCCGCCCCAACACCTCCCTGAACTCCTCATAGATCCCCCGATGCACCAACAGCCGACTCCCCGTGACACACGTCTGCCCACTGGCGATGAACCCGGCAAACAAGGCGGCCCGCACCGCCGTGTCGACCTCGAGGCTATCGAACAGACACACGGGCGCCTTGCCGCCGAGCTCGGCCGTCACCGGCACCAGATTCCGGGCCGCGACGGCCGCGACGGCACGATACGTCGCCATGCCCCCGGTCAGATCGATCTTGGCCAGCCGGGGATGCTGGCACAGGAACCTGCCCGTGTGCGCGCCGTAGCCGCTGACGATCTGGAGCACCCCGTCCGGCAGCCCGGCCGCCTGGAAGAGCGCGCCCATGCGCAGCACGGACAGCGGCGCCAGCTCCGACGCCTTGACCACGACGGTGTTCCCCGCCGCCAGCGCCGCCCCGAGCTTCTTCATCGCGATCAGCAGCGGGTGGTTGTACGGCGTGATCAGCGCGACCACCCCGAGCGGCTGCCGCGTCAGCGTGTTCGTCACCGACGGGCCCTTGAACGGCGGCACCGACCCCTCGTGCACCCGCGCCACCGACCCGAAGTACTCCAGCCATTCGGGGACCCGCGCGAGCTGCGTGCGCATCTCCCGGATCGGCCGGCCGGTTTGCGCCGTTTCGAGGGCGATCAGGTCCGGGAGCTGCGCGCGCAGGAGCCGGGCGGCCGTGGTGAGGACCGTGAAGCGTGTGGTGGGGTCGGCGCGCGACCAGGTGCCGCTTTGGAAGGTGGTGAGGGAGTCTTCGATGATGCTGTTGATGGTGGTCTCGGGCGTGGCGTCGATGGTTGCGAGCGCGGTGGAGGTTGCCGGGTTGAGGACCGTGATGCGCTCGGGGGTGGCGGCGGCGTGCGCGCCGTTGATCCAGTTGGATACGTGGGGGAGTTGGTCGGTCATGGTAGGTAGGGGGTGTGTGGTTGCTGGGCTGGTGGGAGAGGTGTAGTGGTGGTAGAAGGGGGGGGGGGGGGGTTGTTGTTATATGGGGTTGACTTGAGCATCTGTACAGCAGTGCATACTCGACTGCATCTACCCCGCACACGATAAGCACCCCCCCCATCTTATCATCCCATATCTTCTCCCAAGCACGGAGTATCGCTGGCTCTGCGATATCTTATCTATCTACTTGAAGTCTGTCTCAAACGCATCTGGATTGCCAATTCCCATGGTACAGTAAGTTACTTGGTAGGTTGTTGTTTCTCCGCCAGGTAAACAACGTCGCTAATCTCCGCCCCTACAACTCTCCACCTTGCTAGGAATAAGCTGGCTATGAATCTGGTTTGCGAATGCTAGACTCTGCAAAGACAGAAGCTTTTTTACCTGTAAGGCGAATCTCGTCTCTTGTTGCAAAACACAATCATTCGACCCCATTTCCTCTCGGCAACTCGTGCCGTGTGATCGGACGCTGGCCCGGGCCATTGCCGAGATCGAGTCATACTTAATCCCCCTCTTGACCCCTCGAGCGTTAGAAAACATTCGACACAAAACATTCCAGCAGGGTCCACGGCACATGACTAAGAATGGCAGCATCAAGCTCCGACAGAAGCGCGTTCACTTCCCAGGACTCCGTCGCACACCTCTGGCGCGACCTCGGCCTCCCCGAAGCCAGTCTGGCGTCGCTCGACATCACCGACCCCGAGAAACCGGGTCTCCCCTCCTCCTTCAAGGTGGGCCATCTCGCGCAGGCGTCCATCGCCCTTGCGACCTTGCTCGCCGCGCAGATCCACAGCCTGCGAAACCACAACCACAACCACAACCACAACCACTCCCCACGACCACCCACAGTGACCGTCTCGTTCCGCCACGCCTGTGTGGAATTCAACTCCTGGCGACTCTACACGATCGACGGCGAGCCGGTCCAATTCCCCCCAACCAGCCCGGTGGGCGGTCTACACAGAACGTCTGACGGCTACGTGCGCGTGCATGACGGGTTCCCGAACCACCGGGACGGAGCCAAGGCGCTCCTCGGCTGCGCGCCGGATGTGACGATGGATCGGGAGGCCGTCGCGGCGAAGGTGGCCGCGTGGCGGTGCGTAGACTTGGAGCAGACGGGGGTCGAGACCGGGCTCGCCATCGCTGCGTTGCGGAGCTTCACGCAGTGGGATGTGCTTCCCCAGGCCCGTGCCATTGCGGATACGCCGATCCGGCTACGCAAGATTGGCGACGGCGCGTCAACGGGGCCGGGGCTGCCGGACTGCCTGGGGGCTGGCGGCGCGGATAAGTGCCTGCGCGGGCTGCGGGTGCTGGAGATGTCTCGCGTGATTGCGGCGCCCTTGTCCGGCAAGACGCTCGCCGCCCACGGCGCCGATGTCCTGTGGGTGACGAGTCCCAATCTCCCGGATTTGCCGGAGCTGGATCGCGAGATGGGCCGTGGGAAGAGGACGATTCAGCTGGATCTGCAGGCTGAAGAGGATGAAGCGGAGCTGTTCAGGCTCCTGGACGAGGCGCACGTGTTCATCCAGGGTTACAGGCCGGGGAGTCTGGCGGCGCGCAGGCTGTCCCCGGAGGCGATCGCGCGAAGATGCGCCGGTCGCGGGATCATCTGTGCGAATCTGTCGGCGTATGGTCCGGACGGGCCGTGGGCTGGCCGTCGCGGATTCGACTCCCTGGTCCAGACGTGCTCGGGGCTGAATGTGTCCGAGGCCGAGCACTTTGGTGCTGGCGAGGCAGCCCGTCCGCTGCCGTGTCAGGCATTGGATTATGCGGGAGGCTTTTTCCTCGCCGCCGGGGTCATGGCGGCGCTGTACAAGCAGGCGACGGAGGGCGGATCGTGGCAGGTGGATGTCTCCCTGGCCGGGGCGATGAAGTACTTGCGGTCGCTGGGACAATACGAGGGCCGAAGCGGATTCGACGCGCCCGATTATCTCCGTCCGGAGGATGTGCCTTCGGAGTACATGGAGACGCATATGACGGGGTTCGGCAGGATGACCTCGGTGCGACATTCAGGGTCAATCCAGGGGGTGGAAGTAGGATGGGAGATAATGCCGAAGCCATTGGGCGCTGACGAGAAGCGATGGTTATAAGCTGCTCTAGGCCATCAGTGGTCAAGTGGCAAGTGTCGACCTCGTGTGTATTCTTGGGTGCAGTTACACACATCGCATCTGTGCATCTCTTCCCAATACCACCTTGCTTCTTCCGCTGGCGTGATCAAAACGCCTGACAGTTTTCGCTGGAATGTTTGTTTCCCCTCTGTATGACCTCATGATGCACGGTGCATACACCCCCTCCTTCAGTCCAGGACTCAACTTGCTTTTTTTTCCCTCGTCTCGAATTGCTTTGTCCACGTATTCGTACCTCCGTTGAGTCATGCGGGGTAAGACAGTTGCTTCGTTTTCAATCGACGATGGCCCCTCTCTTTGTTCTTCTTCTCGGACACCACCATAAACCCCCATTCACAAGCTGTGCCACCTCCCCACCACCATGAAGGTGATCATCATCGGCGCCGAAGTAGACGGACTCATCTGTGCGATCGCTTGCAAGCGGGAGCAATTGGATGTGATTGTTCTCGAGCAACAGGCTGAGATTGAGGTGAGTGGAACTGACGGGGGCGTGGCAGGGGATTTTTGTTTGCTGATTTCCGCTTTCGCCTGCAGGTCAATGCCGGTATCCAGATCCCTCCCAACGGAGCCCGAGTTCTGCATCAACTGGCTCTTCTGGAGGCTGTGACTCGCAAAGGGACTAGTACAGAATATCTGGATTTAAGACGCTTTCACGATGGGGCGTTGATTCGGTCGATGCCGTGGGGAGAACCGGTTCGCCAGGCTTACGGGGGACCTTGGCTGTATGTCCTGTACTTCCATCCCAGGGCCAAGGCCCATCTGAGACAAACCAACTCAAACTAATACTGCAAAACAGTAATATCACTCGAGCGGACCTTCTCGACATACTACTCGACAAAGCGCGACAATTAGAGATAGACATCCGACCTCATGCCATCGTGGAGGAGATTCATTGCGACACCGCCGAGGTGCTTTTGAAGGATGGAGCTCGCATTCAAGGAGATGTGGTGATTGGAGCCGATGGTTTGTTTCTCCCTATTCCTTGATGCTCTAAACGGACAAAGAGAACCTCGTGCAATGCTGAAGATGGCGACCCACGGGAAAACAGGCATCTTCTCTAGCACTCGAGACACAGTCTTGAACCATCCAAGCCCGCCCAGCCCAGCCGGCGACATCGCCTACCAAGCAACCATCTCCCGATCGGCGCTGAAAGCCATCGACGACGGCCAACTCGACGAGCTCTGCTCCAAGAACAAGATCACCACCTGGTTAGGTTCCGCGCAGCATACCGTCATCTTCCCCGTCCGGCAGGGAGAAGAGTATATGCTTGTGACCTACCACGCATACAGCACTCCTCCAGCAGAAGCAGCCGGTCTTGCCCAGATACAAGCACTGCATCAAGGCTGGGATCATCGGTAAAAGCCTCTCTTCAGCCCCCAACATTCCCCCTGATCCAACTCCTTGCCTAACAATCCCAACTTTAGACTCCCAACCATCCTCGCCCACGCGACCTTCGCCTCCCAAACCACCCACCACACCCTCCGCGACCTCCCCACCTGGCGCAATTCCCGAACCCTCCTTCTCGGCACCGCCAGCCGCATCATCCCCCCCTACCAAGCCCAAGACCTGGCCGCCACCCTCGAAGACGCCGCCGTGCTCAGCACGCTCCTCGGCCTCCTGAACCACCACAGCCCCGCACCCGACCAACTTCCGCGCCTGCTCCCGGAGGTCCTCGCCCTCCACGAGGCCCTCCGCAAACCGGCCGCCACCAAGGCCGTCCAGGCCGGCCTCCTCAGCCGCCGCGTCCTCCAGGTCGGCAACCCGGTGGGCCAGGTGCTCCGCAACTGGTTCCTGGGCGGGGCGGGCATCACGCGGGACACGGACGCCGGGTGGTTGAAGCTGGTCTCGGCGCAGCAGGAGGCCACGCTGGGAGGGGGAGGGGGAGGGGGCAGGGGCAGTCTCCTCGACGAGACCAGGGCGCGGTTCGAGGCGTGGAGGAAGGAGCGGCTGCCGCTGCTGGCGGCTGAGGAGTCGAGGGAGCGGTCGTCGGCAGGTTACGGCATTGGACGGAAGCGGTTGCGGTGTTGGACGTATTGACTGGCTTGCAACGGGGCTGTGTATATGATGTTTAATAATCCCTGGTTTCGAGTAGGATGTGCGATGGTGGTTGCCTGCTTTTGTATTATTTTTTTTTCTTGGTGTATTTCGTCTAACTTTGGATTCTCAATACAATACTTACTGCTAGGGAATGGATCCCCTTTCTCTCATCGTAAGCGTCGGATGTAACTTACTGTCGAGATTATTGTCCCTCCCCAGCAGATCTACCTCAAGTCACGACACGAGAGGAAGTCCATACAACTGACTCCTCCAGTGCTCCCAGACTTCTCCCACCCACCCACCTACTGTACCTACCTTTACCCCACCGAATCCACCAACCCCCCTGAAATCCACTCCTACCTTAAGAAGACACCCCATCGCCAAGAAAAGGCCAGTGAAGAATAAACACAAACGTACAGTGCAGTGCAGTCCAGGTCCTTATAGTCCTGGAGCGTGTCTCCCGTAGTACAGTTACTAGCAGAGGTACGGAGTACGGAGTATGAGTATTGAACCCTTCTTTCTCTTCTCCACTCGGACCCACCATCCCTCCCCTTTCCCCACAATCACAATCTCCAGGCTACTGCCCCCTCCCCCACTCGCCTGCAGAACCGAATCTGATGGACATGGACATGGACATACATGGTCAAGAAGCCTTGACTAGTCCGCCCGCGTTCGCGGAATGCAGCGAGTTACGCTCCCATCAGGTTAGGCGCCCTCACGCCCGTTGAGGCTTGAGATTGATTGTTTTGACCGCTACGGATATCGTTTCAATGGCGTTGGTTGGTGAGTTACGTCTACCAGACCTAAATAACCGCTCTAGAGCCTATTTCCCTTGTAGAAAACACCACGACGCGCGAGAGAAAATGTCGCCAGCAATCGAGATGCCCGGCCACCACCACCCACAACACAATGCTGTTGAGACTGCTAAAGACATGATATGATGATAGAGGAAGAGGGAGAGGACGGGGAGGGAAAGGTCCACGGTAAAGCCACCGCTTTCCAAGTAAGGAAAGCGCACCCTCATCCTCACCAGCCAGACGTGTTCGTTCCACTAAGACCCTGACTGAGGATGAAGATCCGGCGTGGCTCTGGGGGCAGCTAACTGTGATTGGTTCCGGAGTACAGTTCTGACTTTTGAATTAAACGTCTCGAGTGACCATAGTATGTATAAGGGCAACGCGCAACTGGTCATGCCTTTGTGCAATTTACAACGTAGCTTAAACCTAGACAATGACACTATCATAAGAATCTAATAAGGAGAAAGAGCGCAAGGGCTTGACTCGTGGTGTGTCCAACGAGCTAGAAGCGACCGTGGGAGGTGTATTGGCTGTAGGTACAATAAATCACAAAAGTGCAAAACCAATGCCATGCACGACTGCCAACAACGAGAGAGGGAAATGGGGAGGAAGGGTGATGACAGGAAAATAAAGAGAATCAAGAGAAGGGTCCTGGGTCGGCCATCGGACCCGACGAAACAGTAGGTACAACGACGCTGACAACCATTGCAACATGCGACAACCGTACTCGACAATCACCCACATCTCAGCAACATTGATCATCCCCGCACCATCAATCTTCCTGGTAGGAAATCTTGCGCATCTCTCCCAGGCGTTGGCGGGCGCGAGCAAGACTGTTCTCCAGCTGAAGAATTTCGACCTGGAATCCCAAAATGAGTCAGCTTTCTGTACCCTAGAAAGAAGTCTAGATGAAGAGCTTACCTGTTGCTCCATCTCCCGCACCTTGAACTCATGGGAGCCGAGCTTGCTGTAGTCGACCGCTTCGTTGTCTTCCTGGTTCTTCTCCTTGATGATACTCTGCACCTGCCGCACCAAAGCCCGGCACGCGGCGCCGACAGCCTTGCTAGCGCTCTCCAAACGGTCTTGGGTCTTGCTCATGAAGCTAGCCTTGACACGACTGGCCGCCACCAGCTGAGCCGTGCTAGCAGCCACGTCGTTACTGGCCACGATCAGCTGCTCAGGCGAGTTGCGACCGGAGATAACCCCATCGGCCGTCTCGATCAAAGTGTTGGTCGAGTTAGCGACGGCCTTGGCTGCCGAGATCAACCCCTCCGTCCAACGATTGTTCTTCTTATAGAATGCCGTGCGCGAAGAGCTACCACGACCCTCGCGGACAATCTCTTGCTGCGACTCAGTCGCCGCCTTGATCAACTCGGCGATGGCGTTGGTCACGGCAATGGCCGCTTCCAAGATAACGTCATTAATGCGAAGCTCGTACGTGGTGTAGCCATCACGGGGCTTCTTCTTGAGCTTCGCCAGGCGCTGCGCCGCAGCATCGATGGCATCAGCCGCCTTTAGAAGCTCCTGGTCGACAAGGTCGCCGAGGTCTCCATTCGTGGTGATTCTCGCGCTCTTGGGAGCGAAGACGTCGACCAACTTCGACAGAGCCTGCAAGTCTCGTTGCACCTCCAAATTGTTGTTGATCACCACGTCGGTCTTCTGCAGAGCCTCCAATCCCTCCAGACGGAACGACTGCAGGCCCCGGAAGAACCGTACTGTGGCTTGTGCAGACTTGCGGGCTGCGTTAAGCAGCTGATCGGCATTCTTGTCGTCTTTAGCGAGGCGAGTCAATCCCTTCGTGTTGCTGAGAACATCGGCAATTGAGCCGGAAAAGATCGACACGGTACGGATGATCTCCGCGTGCGTGCTATTAGGTCCGTCGGCGATGTAGTTGTTGAAGGCAGTGGAGAATTCGGTTGCCGACGCAGACGCCTTTTCGATCTGGGAAAGCACATAGGGAGGCGAGGCATTTTGGTTACCAGCCTGCATGGTAGAGTCCACTTCGTACAAAGCATCATCCACCCGCTGAACACCAGTCTGGAGAACGGAATCGATGATATCATTGATCTTGGCCACAGTGCCGTGCAAGACTTGATCAATCTGAGTATCAAGAGCTGTGTCGACATCACC